ACAATGACCATTAGTCGGACATTGCCCATATACATAAATGGAAAATCTCCATGCGTATGATTTCTCAACCCATGTTATACCATTGTCAAGTGAAAGAGAAACAATGACTGACGTCCGTTGAGTATAGTTGGAAAGTCTACAAATGACTATCGAAGTGTTACCAATTATTGCAGGAACAGTCCAGTTTATCGATGCTTGAAACAAACATATAACATTAGCCAACGAAGTAAAGTAAAGATTGGCTCCAGTCAAAGTAATATTGATTCCATCACGTGCTGAAAGATCGCTCACTGAGGTAGGTTGAATACTCAGCAATTGAGTATTATTCGTACAATACGGACCGTAATAGTTCGATTTGCATTGATTACAAAGTATCCCAGTGAATCGCACGGGATCTCCACAGATACAAGTATCATTTGTATGATCACAAGTGCCATTATTAGATTCGCAATTGTATCTACATGAATAGCAGTTAGGATAATTGTAGTAACCAAGAGCACAGGAAGAACACTCTGGGCCAGAGAAAGCCGTGCCGCAAATACACTCTCCAAAACTACAGTTCCCATGATAACATCTATTCGGTCGACTGGGACAAGTTCCTTCTATACGTATGATCAGAGGTGCATATATCCAAGTAGTTCCATTGTCTGTCGAAATATATAGCTGACGCCATGATGTGTTCATTCTTGGTGTCACACAATTGAGTGTTGTGCGATTGACAATATGTCCATAGCTCGTATTGGTCAAATTATCATAATAGAAATAGGTCGATTCAAATTTACACAGAACATTCGTTATGTTTTCATCAAAGTTGCTGATAGTAAGTGTCAAATTTGTTCCCCCCAAGTCGCTAACCCATAGAGACGAAGCTGATAGTATCATTGGAATTCGTGAACAACCTCTTCCATTATATTCCAATGGACATTCGGTGCAACGAGAGCCGGAGTAAGGCGCAGTACACATGCATGTCCCATTGACACATGACCCATTATTTTTGCAATAAAATTGGCAATTGATACACAACGGATATTCAAAATAGCTTTTGTCACATCGGTCACATTTTTCACCAGCAAATCCTGAGAAACAGGTACAGTTGCCATACTGACAGATACCGTTATTTGAGCATTTACTCAATGCTTCCGGACAGTATGCTGTCACTTTTAATATTAGCCTGCTCAATTGATTGGGATAGCCATCACTGAACCAGCTTGTACCGTTGTCAAGAGAAAAGGAAACATTATAAGAATTAGAGGGCATTTCGTCTATAACACAAGCAATAGCAGTCTCATTAATGACTACTCCTGATAACGAATAGTAATAAAACTGAGAATAATAATAATAGTCATAGAACCAATCGTATTGATAAGACGAAAAACGGCAACGCACATTAGCGGCCGGAGCACGTGTATCGAAATGTGCACCTATAATACTAATATAACTTCCGCCTATATCGTATACCGTTCCATTGGTGATAATAGAAAATCCGATTGGATCTTGAGTGCAATATTGACCATGAAAATTTGATGTACAGTTAGAACAAAAAATATCTGTAGTATTTGTAGGGCATATACAAGTGTCGTTTTTACAAATACCATCATTTCGACAGTATGATTTGCATGCATAGCATTGTGGATAGTTGAAGTAGCCAACAGCACATACAGAACAGTTGGTACCATCATATTGAGGATAGCACATACACTCAGTTCCTTCGTTGATACAACGTCCATGATTGCTACAATAGTCAAGCCGCTCACACTGGGGATAATAACTGAATTGTTGACCTTCGACATTCATCTGTTGGCTGATAAAAGTTAGAATAAATAAGAATATTTCGAATTTCATCGTCCTAATCATGCACGATCTAAATGAAAAGAAAACAAAATGTTGATATGGACACGTCTTTTTCTTGTCGTTCACCAAATTCATTTATTGAGAATATAACGGGTGGGTCAAATTAAATGGGACAACATCATTTTCCTTTTTTTGGGATACTTAGGTACACTTTCAGAAATTTGTGCTATGCTCATTCGATAGAGAATTTTTCGCTCTACAAAACTGTCGTCTTCCTTTTTTCAAATAACGTTTCTTGTCAGAGCAAAATTCAAAAGACTTACACCTTCTCAATCGTCCAACTGTGACTGCCAAAAAAGCGGAAAATGATCCAAACTTTTGAATAGAGATTCCACTGAAACTTCAAATATGTTACAAAATACTCCACCAAATTCTGCATCTTTTGATATACGTTTCCGAATTTTAGAAGAACTATTTGCGAAAAAAATCTGGACATAAAAATGTCAAAATATTTAAAAGAACACTTTTCTGGCAGGACTATGTGATTGGAATCTATTTAATTCGACATGAGCAAATCGTTTTCACTCTTAATTCTACAATCACACAATTTTCTTCAGAATTAAATTCTATGTTCGATGGCGTGAAAATGAACATTTCATACACGAAGTCTTGCTTTGGAAAATGGGTATTTCCATGGGAAATCTCCCGTGTTATACAAAAGTATCTCCTATCAACATGAAACTTTCAGAGTTTGTAGAGCTCGATTTGCTGATTATTTTGATCTAATTAGATTTCAAAAAATATTTTGCCATCCATGATTTACAGCCGTCAACTTTTCACCATTTGTATGCAAGAAAAATTCTTTTTGTTTTCTGCAGAATTTTGTCTGGGCGTTTTTTCTTCGGTATTTTTTTATCGCTGGAATTTTTCAATAGGCTACGTTTGTTCAGTTTTTTGCGCTCTATCGATTGAACTATTTCGGAAACTAGCTTGGAGTGAGTAAGACGTAGTCAGTATCAAATTTTGGAAATTCTGAGTGGTGTTCATTTTGACTAAAAAAGCTCAACTTTCCAAATTTCCCGAAGAATCGAAATAGTGGAGAAGATAGAGCGAAGTTCGCTCTACAAGATGGTATGTATGGCTGTTCGAGGCATTCAGGTATATTAAAATAGAAAGCCTGACAAAAATGGTCAAATTTTCACGTTTTTACCTAATTTTTCGCTATTAAGTAATTATGTAATCCTGTTAATGTCAAGTGATCAACTTTTGCTACGTGCTAGACACACTTTGATCATTCATATCATTAATTTTCTTTTAAATGACGATCAAAAAACTTTCTTTTTTTTGATTATTTGACTCCCATTGCATCCTCACAGTCATTATCCAAGGAAAGAAGTGGTAACACCGAATTCGAGTATTTCTATCCAGATGCACGTATAGGGTTGTGTTACCTTTCTCATTCGTTGTGTTAGTGTAGAATTTCGACTTTTCTCGGATGGTATCATTTGTCGATTGTTTCATCGATCAAAAACTGGGGTATCTCTTTAAAATATAGATTTTACTTTTACGTTGAGATTCTTGAAACTGAGTATTTTACGCCTGAATTCGCTTTACGGTCCATGCTAATTCTCTAATTGATTGATTGTGTTTAGTGTAAAATTTCGAGCGCTATCTAACCCAGTGACTTATAGTGAATTCGTGGATAAACAACTGACGAGGAAGCATATCGAACTGTCGAACGCCATTCCTGCTCATATTTTTGCTATGAGTAGTACTCAGTAAGACTAAGAGAGCCTTATAATGGTTCATGCCCATGACTTGTTGCTAGTGAGATATCGAGCTTTTAGTGAGTTTTCTGTAAACCACCCCAATTTTTCAGCAAAGCAATATCTTTGAATTCTAACTTGAAACTTTGCTTACATCAAGGACTGCGCTAGACCAGGTTGTATAAATAATTTCAGAACTTTTGAAGAAAATATTTCTGAGGTATCATCTGTTCAAAAAATGCATGCTGTCATTACTATCTACGAAAAAGGTTCTCTGTCTTAATAGTTCTATATTTCAGAAACACTTTTTTCAAACGTTCTGAAATCTTTTTGTATAAACTTGTCTAGCTGAAGCCTTTATGTAGACAAAGCTTCGGGGCAGAATTTAAAAATATAGGTTTACTGCAAAAGTAGCGTGATACACAGAAAACTCACTAAAAGCTCGATATCTCCTTAGAAAGAAGTCATGGGCACAAATCATTACAAGGTTTTTTACTCTTACTGACTTCTACTCATAGGAAAAATATGAGTCCGAACGGCGTCCGACAGTTGGATATGTTCCCTCGTGAGATTTTCATGCGAATTACTGTGAAAAACTGTATTTCTAACAGGATTTGCTGTCCTGATTCGTCTTTCGACCTGCGATAATGCTATAGTTTACTGTCCCAGCTGGAAAATTTCGTGGTCTATCGAATGGTACCATTTTGAGCAAGTCTCATTGTCTAACTTAGAATCATGGGGATACCACCGACCTCTGGCTACCAATCTGGATGAAAGCCTTTCGTCTTCTACACATGTTCTAGCTGGCAAAAATTCAATGATACCATGCTGTTTCCATGCTTTGCTGTTGACAATATGTGCAACACACTCAGTAAATGGTCAACCGTTTGTTGCGACTTGACTGACACCCTTACACCGATACCCACCCACGTTACTCTTTTATATGGTGATCTTATTCGAAAGCAAAACCATTCGAAAGAAGTCGAGATTCTGCATCTAACACAGTCAATGACAAAGACAACACAATCCTATACGTGCATCTGGATAGAAATACTCGAATTCGGTGTCACCACTTCTTTCTTTGGATGATGACTTTCGAGGTGCGATGAACGCCTTCAAATTTTAGTGCCCTTCATATGACGAGTAGAATGGGTATACTTTTTCTTTGAAGAAAACATTTTTAAATGGTAAACAATTAGTTTTAGAATGATACATGAATGGCAAAATATAATCAACATTCAAACAATGTATCCTCGTCATTTATTATACAGAAAGAGTCAAATAATCAAAAAAAAGAAAGTTTTTTGATCGTCATTTAAAAGAAAATTAATGATATGAATGATCAAAGTGT